ATCAAGTTATCGCTATCATCTCTTCTGCACTTATAACGAAGTGAGAGGTAGAAAAAAAACAGAATTAGAGATTAGGCATGCAAAAGAAAGGGCAACGAACAAGCATTTTTGCTTTCTCTTGGTCAATGCGCAATCTAATGTAAATACTCTGGTATCGTTGTGCTGTATAAAAATAATGTGACGTGAAAGACAACAATATTAAGCAGAGTGAAGTACCCTATACACTGATTGATGCAGCATGTGCATGGCTACATGACTAGAAGATTATCGCTATTTTTCATTTCGCTATTCTACATCTTCGTTCTTCCCACTTTCGCCAAACAAAATTCACTACATGCGCCTTCGCTGAAATATCTTTTGCTGGTAAGTAGTTTTGCGAGTTGTTTTTTTTGCGATATAGACATCATATCATAACCTTCGAAGGAGACCGCCTATCTCAAAATCTGTAAGAGGTCTTAAAATATCGAGGGGTGTCCAAGGACTGAGGAATAGGAATTCCTACTCAGTTCTCTGACATTTCCTTGAATGCTAAAATTAAAAAAATACAATATCCACTGTATTTATTACTCTTACACTCGTTTTCATCAAGAAATTTGTGCACATGAACGTATGAGTACGAAAATTATTGCAAAAAAAGCATTATCTTGACTTTCATGAATGAGGGAACTGTGATGGAAATAATGGTCAATTCCCATTTTCCCAAGGAATTATCATAGCTACACTGACAATTCCTCTACAAATTAGGAATTCCTATTTATCAGTCCTTGAACACTGCTGGAAAATGGTGGGATGTGAGTCTGTAGGTGTTGGTGTCACCCCTTATTTCTTCCACACGCTCACCCACACCGCACATTCTTATTTTAGAACATTTCAATGTCATTGAGCTATAGGAGTATATTGACTTTCATTTTTTTTTGTTTTGTCATCTAATCGAAATCAAATTAGGTTATTGTTCGCTACTAGGATGTGATTGTAGGGTGTGTGAACAGATGAGTAGAAGAGTCATACCTATACCAACCGTCACATCCAACTATACCATACACATCCTATGTGAGTCGTAACAATGAAAAGGAGAAAATAACGAGAAAGGAGTGTAAGCAAACAGCGATACCTCTGATTTTGACGGAGGAAAAAAGAGAAGCGAAAAAAAGTAGCAATTTTGAGACATTCAATAATCGATTTCAAAGCAAAAATGTAAAAGCATGAAATATTTAAATACTGAGATATAAAACAGTTCCCAGAAATTAAATCATGCAGAATAAAATAGTCAAGATGTGGGTAAATGAAAAGAAGATCCACAGCTAAATCCACACTTACATCCATCTTCGAATGAGACAACATTGTTTTTTTTCATGTAAATAAATAGAATAAAAATATGCTCTTTGGAGTCTTCGAACGTTCACAAAAGAAATCTTTAATTTTTTTTATTAATGTTTATAGAAGAAGAAAAATTATTTGAATGGTCACCGTTGTTCTCGTTAATGTTTGAGAATATCTGACTGCATAGTTTCTATCTCAAATTCGTTCATGGAAGCTTGTTACAGTGATCATGTTGAAGAGATGTCTATCAATAATATTCATTCACTTAACGAAATTTTCCATCAGGTTTTTTCTTCTACAATGATAAATGAACACCAATTGATTTTTCAATATTTCCAATTCTCCATTACAAGTTTCAATTTTAATTCTATTTTTGATTTCAGAATCGAGTTCAACAAAGTCATAATAAAACGAAAGAAATCTCCTTCATTTTGATTTATAATATTGAAATTTGAATTACGATTTGCTGCGAAATTTCCCATGATGGCATCGAAATAAATACCGATAAACTATGATAGTGTAAGAATTGTTTTATTAACTGAACAAAGAACGAACTCAGATAGTGTTCATATCATATGTTATCAATTTTCTTTCATTTGTTGTTTTCTTTTAAAGAAAATCATCGTATGACGATAGCAACTGACAAAACTTCTTGTGTTAAATGTAAAAAACTTAAAAACACTGTTAAATGTGTTGAATGTTTTCAAGATTTTTGCTTTGATCATATCAATGAACATCACAATGAATTAAGCGAACACTTAGGTCAAACTGAAGATCAATTTAGAGTATGGCTATGGACTGACTAAAGACTTGCACTAAGAATGACAGTTTTATTTTCTTTTTACTTTCTAACAGAAAAAGAAAGGAAAATCAAAAAACTTTCCTTTTTGTTCGTGGTGTTGTAAAAAAGAGAGCCGAATTTTCTATGCTATTCTATAAAGAGAAAAAATAAACAGAAAGTGCAAAAAAGTAAAATAAAAGTCAAAGAAAGCAAAAAGAAATTGGAAACTGGGACTGTACAGCTCACGCTCATGAGTGCTCATATGAGTATGAGCGTTTTTCCTGCCACGAATAGGACAAAGAAGTGATATTTACTCGCCAATTACGTTATCTAGTGATTAGCAACGGAAACTTTGCGAGTTTATCAAAAGGAAAGGCACTTTTCTAAAGATAATGATTTTTTATAAAGTTTGATCAAGGTAATCGGGATCAAGAAATCCGAATCTGTAATCAGTTTCTCAAAATTTTCAGTCTGATTTGTGGTGTGGATCTGGGTCTTCTCTTCTATCTAACCCATATCCGCTCCACCCCACACCCACACCTACTTTCAGCTCTTTCCACCTTGGGTGAGTTCCACATTTCAGCCCCAAAGAAGTTGCCTTAACAAGCTTTTTTTAGAGGATATTTTTGTTTAGATGCATACTCTAATATCAAGTTCCTTTTTATTTTTATAGAATAGTAATTGCAGAACTTTCGATCAACTATTATATAAATTGTATTTTGTGAAATTTTATATTGAAGTACCGGTCTCGAATTTACAAATCACATTTTTATTTGAACTCAAATTCAGCATTTACTTCTACTAATAGTGTAAGGAGCTGTAGAAATATCAGAATAGCACATCATTTTTTTTAAATATAAGTAGGAAATTTAAGATTTACGAAATGCGTGAGTTTAGCATAGTAGTATATTGACTGCTTCGTAGTAATTATAAGTTCCATTGGTCGAATCTACACTACAGCAACAAAAACCTAGTGAGAACGCGTCCCTAGAACCCTAGACTACGACTTACTGACACAAGAATTCGTTGAGCAAGAATGAAATCCTACTCAAAGAGAAATGGATTGTCTAAGAGTGGAGACGGATCAGAGAAGGAACACGTTCAGAGACATGATACATTTGAAGATCAACTTTTTTTCTTCAAAACAATAAAGTGTTCTTATTGGAAAAAACGCGTTTTACCACTCAGGAATCATTCCTCTTAAATAACGTTCTTAGCACATCAGAAATGCATTTTTTTTACTAAAAAACTGCTTTTTATCATATCGAAACCGCGTTCGTCGTAAAGGACGCTAAAAGTGTCTTAATAACGCATCTTTATATTACAACATCACGTTCTTGTCTGTTTTCTTTCATCCTTTTTTCCATGAGATACTAGCAAATCAGCTTTCAGTAGCAAACATCGCTAGAACATCTGACATTTGATTTCTCTTTTGTTTTCTATAGTTTCCTAGCTCATCCAAGATCCTCAATACTTTCAACACTCGTTGTTGTTTTTTTCTCTCTAGACAGATAAACAGAAATAGATGGTGATGATCACTAAATACTTTTTCTTTAGTTTAATATTAGCAATATTATCCGTTGAATTACTTAGTTTCATTGTTCAAGTAAATAGAAGCTGAGTGACGAACGAGTTCTAGGCGAGTTTTTTTGACCGGCTCATAAATTTGATCATTTTAATTATGTAAGTCAGTGAAGTTCTTTGATATTACCGTCCCATGCTTTTCTTCCCTTATTGGCACGAATGTTGAAGCATCTGGCATGATAAAAACATTGTCATTTTGTTTTTCAAATCGACCAAGAGGAGACTTATTCAATAGAGACTGAGTACTCATAGCTGATGGTCGCCGATAATTATTTGAAGTTTCATTTCGATAGGGAGAAACTTGAAATGATTGTCCGAGTTCATCTAATTTCGTTTGCCAATTTCTCGTATATTCACGATCGAGTGTTTCCATGTCACGACGTCGCTTGTACGGCACACACATGAGCCAGATGATCAGACCAACGTGGAAGAAAACATATCCGGAAATGAAAACAAAGAAGATGTATCGATCGATTCGAACATAAATATTATTCGGCGTGAGAGTATTGACCAATGAGGACGATCCCAGAAAAATCACTGTGGCAATGATTGCGTGCCAAATACAGAGAAGAACGAGCATAAAAATCGATATGATTGCATATTTGTCCAGTGTTGTCAAATAGGAAACTGTCGGCTAGAAAGAAAAAAAAGTAAACGATCGTTTTGTTTTTATTTGTTTTTTTATTTTGACACTACTACTAACTAAAGATCGATTGACCACCCAACGGAAAGTAATCGAAGTAAGAAGAAGTGTTGAAGTAATTTGAAGACGACTCTGAGGCAAACTGAAACAATTGTTTTTTTAATAGAATTTAGAAAATCTGAAACAGACAATGTCTTACTTTGGTGAAATGACAAAAATGCAAAAAGCGCAGATAGTAATAAGAAAAATCAAGCAAAAGCCATTCCAATAGTAGTAACCAGGTTGACGAGCTAGAATATAGAGAGAATTTTATGATTTTGTCAATAGAAGAAAAGAAACAAACCTGCGCGACAAGTAAAGGCAAGAACCGGATGTTTTTTGGCTTCGATACCCGTTTCATGTTCGAACGAATATTCTTCTTTTGTTTGACGTATTTCCGTGGCCACATGTTCGTACAGTGACCATTCTTGTTGATCAAAAAATGCTTCACGATTGATAGTCGAAAAACGATCTTCATCTTGGACAAGCAGAACCGTGTCCAAATGATGATCACTAGTGATTGAAATTGTAAGATCTTGTACATCGACTGGAAACTGTAAAAAAAAATAATTGTTGATAATCGTATATATCTTCTTTCCGACGTACGTGATTCAATTCGAGTTTTTCCCAAAATGCGCCTCGCACTCGGCGATGTTCGCAAATTTCCAACTTGATCAGAGATGCCGGGATTATTTCATCCACATTGGGTGGAATTTTCACTATTGTGAACCATTTTTCCGGTTCGCCTATTTCGAATGAAAAGTTACATGAACATAGC